TGCCTTTGCCGGCCGCGGCCTGTGGACGAGCAGAGACGGTGCTTCCCAGACCCTGCGGTCGCCTGGCACGCCCGCCTGCCCGCACGGCACCTGCGGGGCTTTCTCAGAGCCCGCCTGTCGCCCGAAAGTCCCCATGGAGGCCCGGCCCGCCCCGCCAGGACGGAAAGCCCCTCGTCGCACGGCTTTCCGAAGAGAACGCAGCAGAACGAGACGCGAGGAAAGCCCGGGGGGAGCGAGTCTGCGCGTGGAGAGACCCGGGGGCACCGTGTGCCTCCGGGCGGCACGCAGAGGGCGTGGCCTGTGCGGACCGAGCTCCGCGCCGGCGGCTCAGGAGCAGGACCCGGTGCGTCCCTGAGTCCCCCCTGCCCGGCTCAGGCTCCTGCCGCCGGGCCTGCCCACCCTCTGCCCCGGCCCGCCCCCGCTCGGCCTGCCATGCGGAGTGCAGGCCTCCGACTCGGGGTGAAATCTGCCACCCAGACTCCTTCCTTTTTTTTTTTTTTTTTTTTAATCTTTATTGTTGAAAGTATTACAGAGGTCCTCCTTTCCCCCCATTGACCTCTTCCAGCCCTCTCCCACCCTCCCCCCACCCACCCCATTGTCTGTCCACGGGCTATGCATGTATACAAGTTCATTGGTTGCTCTCTTCTCACCCGCCCTCCCGTGCTCGCGCTCTCTCTCTCTCTCTCTCTCTCTCTCTCTTTCTCTCTCTCTCTCTTGGAGGTTCAACTCTGCTCATGCTTCTGTCTCTGGGCCTATTGTGTTTTGTTTTGTTTTAATTAATAAATCTTTATTGTCCAGATTATTACAATCATTCATCTTTCCCCCCCCCCCCCCCATAGCTCCCCTCCACCCGGTTCCCACCCCACCCTCTGCCCTTCCCTCTGGGCCTGTTTTTGATCATCCGTTTATTTGGTTCATCAGATCCCGCATGTGAGCGACATCCCGTGATGCTTGTCTTTCCCTGGCTGACCCGTGCACCTTCCTTGAACAGCCTGTGTGTTCCCTGTAAACCAATGTTTCCGACACAAATGCCCTCCCAGTGGGAGCAGAGAGCCCCGTGGGCAGCGTCAGGAGGGGCAGGGCCTGGGCTTCCTTGGGGAAGGGGGGACAGATGCGGAGGGGTGGGAGCAGTCCTGGCACCCCGAAACCAGTCTGAGGACAGACAGTGTGTCTCTCAGGAGAGCTAGCCGGGGTCCTGGCTGACCCCTCCGGGCGGGCAGAAACCATAGAACAGGAGGGGAAACGTGGAAGGTGGGGCCCAGGCAGGTCTGCTCTCAGAGCCCGGCGTGGGCTACTGCTCCCGGCAGAGGGGTTGGCTGAGGGGGTGAGGCCGGTGACATGGGACAGGAAGTGAGGGACTCAGATGGGGAGGGGCAGGCTGCAGGCTGGGGGCTGCCCGGGAGGGGGGTTGCTACACAGAGCTTCCCTCGTCCCCCCTCCTCACATGGGGCCTCCCGCAGGGCGCTGTGCCCGCTGTGGGGGAGGTGGGCACAGTGGGGGGACGGCCTCATTCCTGTGGGTGCGCCCCTAAGAACAGGGTGCTATCACACGGTGGGCACAGACGCAATCGGAGGCCAGCCCTGGGGAACTCAGCATCCGCCACAGTTTAACCCACAACCCAGGCCGGAGGCTCGGCCTCCGCGGAAGGGTCAGTGGGAGCTGAGCCTGGGACGAGAGCGTGGACATGTCAGCTGGGGGCAGAAGTAGAAACATAGAAGAAAGCTGAAACCGGTGTGGCTCAGTGGATAGAGCATCGGCCTGCGGACTTGGGGGGTCCCGGGTTCGATTCCAGTGAAGGGCATGTACCTTGTTTGCGAGCACGTCCCCAGTGGGGGGGGTGAGGAGGCAGCTGATCAGTCTCTCTCGTTGTTTCTAACTCTCTATCCCTCTCCCTTCCTCTCTGTAAAAAATCAATTGGAAAAAAAATTATATATATATTTTAAGAAACAGAGGCCGAAACCGGTTTGGCTCAGTGGTAGAGCGTCGCTCTGCAGACTGAAATGTCCCAGGTTCGATTCTGGTCAAGGGCATGTACGTTGGTTGCGGGCACATCCCCGGTAGGGGGTGTGCAAGAGGCAGCTGGTTGATGTTTCTCATCGATGTTTCTAACTCTCTATCTCTCTCCCTTCCTCTCTGTAAAAAAATCAATAAAATATATTAAACCAAAAAACAAAAAAAACAGTGTTTTCTTTAAAAAAGAAAGAAAGAAAGAAAGAAAGAGAGAGAGAGAAAGAAAGAAGAAAGAAAGAAAGAGAAGAAAAACGTCTGACATCCAACGAGGAGGCAGGGGTGTGATGCACTGACTCCTCCTGGAAAAGGGTCAGGGTCTGGTCGGTCCGCTCCGGGTCCTGCTCTGCAAACGGAGGGGCCGGGGGCCGCGGACCTCCGGGGACGAGCCAGCCGCCGCCGCGTCCGAGAAGCACAGACAGCGAGCTGCCCGCACCTGAGCATAAAGCTGACGGTCTGTTGTACCACCGCTGCCCTTCCCAGCATCCCAGGCCCTCCTGTGCCCTTTCCCAGTCACCCCCCTCCCACAGACCCCGGGACCCACGATCCGGACCGCGGCGGTGTCCACGGATGACCTGGGCCAGTTCTGTGAGTCAGCAGGAACGGAATCCTTCCGATGTTCTTTGGCTTCTCTGCACCACAGGGCACCCGAGGTCCATCCGGTGGCTGCACCTCTCGGCGACGTTACTGCAATGAGTGTGGCCTGCTCTCTGCCTGCCACGATTCACCCCTCTGTTCTCTGCTGATGGGCATTCGTGGTGCTGCTGGCTTGGGGCCTTCCTAAAGTAAGGTGACCAGACGTCCCGATTTTTAACCATTTGTCTCGCGTCCTGCGGAGTTTGTTTTTTTTTAAAAAAAAAAAAAGTCCAAAAACTCGGGACTTTTTTTTTTTTTTTAAACAAACGCCTCTGGGCGCGGGACAAATGGTTAAAACTCGGGACTGTCCCGCCAAAAGCGGGACATCTGGTCACCTCATCCTAAAGGTGCGGCGACCCCCCTCCTGGGGGCTCTGGTGGACGTGTGCCTCCTCCCGTGAGCCACGGGCCTGGAAGGCGCCACTGTCCTCTGTAGAAACCACCATCTCGTTTCCCCGAGGTTGAAGGGTGCCTTTTGCTGGTCTCCAACAGAACATATAAAGGAGGACGTAGAGCCGAAACTGGTTTGGCTCAGTGGATAGAGCGTCGGCCTGCGGACTGAAGGTCCCGGGTTCGATTCCGGGCAAGGGCATGTACCTGGGTTTCGGGCACATCCCCAGTAGGGGGTGTGGAGGAGGCAGCTGATCCATGAGTCTCTCTCATCGATGTTTCTGGCTCTCTGTCCCTCTCCTTTCCTCTCTGTAAAAAAAAAATCAATAAAATATATTTTTAAAAATGAATGAATGAATGAATGAATGAATAAATAAATAAATAAATAAAAGAAGGATGTAGAGTGTGTGTTGGGGAGGGGGGGAGTGGCAGGGGAGAGAACATTCCTTAAACTAATCCCAAGACAGGTTCTTTCCACAAGCGTGGAGCACCTGCTGCGAGGTGGTAAAAGCTGACAGAGCCTCCCCCGCCCTGTGGCCTGGCCTTGGCCGCTCCCCGCTCCTCTGGGGCGGCTGAGCCGTGTCGGAGGCTTTGCACCAGCACCCGGCTCCGTGGGCCCGTCCCCGGCTGGCGGTGCCCGGAGCACGCCCCCGCCCGCTGCCGGATGGTTCGGACGGGCCCTCCCCTCGGGGTGCAGAGCTCAGCCACTCCTGGAGGGAAGCCCGCGTCAAGCAGCTTTCACCCTTCCCGCCTCTGCACCCGCACCGCAGACTCTGACAGACCCAGAGCCGCACCCGCAGATCTCCGCGGAAGGGCGTTCAGCGTTTCTGGAGCTCAGGGCCCCGTGCAGGCGCCAAAGCCCCTGCCCACCGGCCTCTCCCCCTTCCAGGTGCACCGTTTATACCTCCCCCTGGGCACCTGCCTCACAGGGAACCTGCCTCCGGAGCCTGGCGTGTTCTGGGAAGAGCTGGCCTTTCTGTAGGGCAGTGTTTCCCAGACTTCCCTCATGATGAGAATCACCCGGTGGAGTTGTTAAACTACAGATTCCTGAATCCCAACTATAGGTAAAATTGTATACTTAACTAGTAGTGCTCTAAGACAGAGCACCAGTTAAGTATACAATTTTACCTATAGGTTCCCAAAAATTCTAGTTTAGCACGTCTTAGTTGGGATTCAGGAATCTGTAGTTTAACAGCTCCACCAGGTGATTCTCGTCATGAGAGAAGTCTGGGGAACACTGCTGTAGAGCAACCTCAGCACTGCTGAGATCCTAGGCCGGACAATTCTTTGCAGCGGGGGGCGGTCCTGCGGATTGAGGGACATGTGGCAGCATCCCTGGCTTCTGCCCACTGGATGCCAGGAACACCCCCGCTGTGGCCACCGGAAAGGTCTCCGGGCATTGCCAAGTGTCCCCCGGGGGGGCGAACTCATGCGGGTGGAGAGTCACCGCAGCGGCGAAATTGGTTTTTAACAAAACACCAGGCAGCACACCCTCTCGCTCGAAGGGAGAGGTCAGCTTCCCGAGACGCCGTCACGTTGGAGGAGTGGCCTCCGTGTCCACAGCAGGAGTCTTACTCTTGGCAACCAAACAGAACCAACCGTGGCACCAAACAAAAAAACCACAGTTTACTCTGGGGAAACGGAGAGGCACATGAATCTGGGAAGCAGAGGTAAGAGGGCTTGGAGGCAAGAGCAACAATGAGGGAGGCATTGTCTCTGTAAGTTCCCGGCTGTGAGCTGACACGGTTACCCACATCCCTGACTCAAGACACCGAACACAAGGCCAAGGTCAACTCAGGGGCAACTCTGGTGTGAGGCCCACACTCCTCACCCAGCGTGTCCAGGGAATGCCCCTCTCCCCAGCTCATCTCCTTGTATGAAAACACACACACGCAAACACACACACACACACACACACACACACACACACCTCCAGGGTCCTATAATTAAATCAGTTTTAAATGTATCTTGTTCTGGGGGGGGTGTGTTTTTTTATTTTCTTAAAAGTCCATTTTTTAAAAAATCATACAAAATATGTTTAATATATCTTAGAAAATTAGCAAAAAAATTGTAAGATTGTTCAGCATATTACATTGTACATTTAGGTGAGAATGTTTGAACATTTATAAATATTTTGTTTCCTCTCAAAATGGCATGTGACAAAAATACACTTTTAAAATGTTTTCCTATAAATGATCATAACGCCTGTGTATTAGGGAAAAGGCCCGAGTAGGACAAGCGTTCCCATACTCCTGAGACGCCCTGTACAGTAACAACCAAAGTAACACCGGGCTCCGTCAGCACGCTGACTGCCAAAACCATTGTAAATCAGAGGAGGAATTCAGCTACTCTCAAAATCTCATTCCAAATGGGATCCACTCAGTTCATCTACGGGCTTTGATCCCTAAATACAGCAGGTCCTTGAGTGACATCGTTTGGTGCAATCCCGTTTTGTTACCATGCTGAGGAGATACCAAGAACACTTAGCCCTGGCCTTGATGGATTAGCCTGCGGGAAAACTGGTTTTGCTGTATACGTCACTTCCCTTAGGTTCCAGCACTGTCCATAATGCTACTGAGGACTTACTGTGTGTGTCTGTTTAAAAAGGATGCCGACTGCCCAGACAGGCCCTGGAGCCAGAGGTAAGCCGGTGGCACCGAGCTTTACACAGACACCTGCTGCGGCCGCTCAGTCGAGGATCGGGCCAGCTGCTGGCTCCCGGCTCGGAGCAGGATGGTCAGGGCACCCCCGTGAACTGCCAGGAAACTGCCGATCTAGCTTAGACACCGGTACAGGGAGGAGGACATGTGCTGCAGAGGGAGGTGGCGGACCCGAGTCCACAGAGGTCCGAGCACCGGGGACCCAGAGCACCAGCCCGTCCCCCAGCAGGACGGGGCGACGCTGACGAGAATCGGAGGGGTTTCCAGGAGCGGCCGTTTTCAGAGAAAGAGTCTGTGAGGAGCTGGCAGTGTCGGCTTTTTCCTTCCCAGATGAGCCCTCATTTGCAGGAAGACGGCAGAGGCTTCCGCAGTGTCTGGACCGAACGGGAGGCTGAAGGGAGAGAGGTTAGAAGCAGCAAAGCCAGTTCCGTTTGCCTTCCGCACAAAGCCCTCCGGCTGCACGTGGCGGCGGCTGGACAGGGCCCGTCGCTCGGTCACTCGGTGCCCTTCTTCCCTTTCCAGCTCTTCTCGCGCTCCTCCAGCTCCGCCCGCGTGAAGGCGGCCGGGCCCCAGTGCGTGACGAGGTGGGGGTTTCTGGAACCTGGAAGACAAGCAGGCCTGAGACACAGGCAGGACCGTGTCCGCCCCGACGTGACCTGACCCCACCAGGCCTGTCCTGGGGCCGCCTCTGGAGGAGCGTCTGTGGGCCCAGCGGCCGGAGCACCGAGCTGTGCGCCGGGGAGCGCCGAGCTGTGCGCCGGGAAGCGCCCGCCTGCGGTCTGTCCGGGGGGCCAGGACGTCACAGACGCTCCCCTTCGACAGCGGGCTTCGTACACGGGGGCGGAAGAAGCTTCTTTATACGTCACTTTATATGTCCACAAGGAAACAGAGATAAACCGAACACACACACACACACACACACACACACACACACACACACACACGGCCCTCACCTGGCTCTATCAGGCGGATGAGCCCTTCGTGCTGGGCCACTTTGTCCTTCCAGCTCTTGGTCTTACTAGTGGCCATCTCCAGCTTCTGCTTAACCCCCTGGAACAGAGGAGGTTTCTGATTTGGCAACACACCCTGATAGATAAAGAGCCAAATAACTGGCCCCTCACCCTGATTGGTATGGCTCAGTGGGTAGAGCGTCAGCCTGTGGACTGAGGAGTCCCAGGGTCAATTCCGGTCAAGGGCATGTACCTTGGTTGCGGGCATATCCCCAATGGCGGGGACGAGGGGGGGGGGGGGGAGGTGTGTGCAGGAGGCAGCTGATCGATGTTTCTCTCTCATCCATGTTTCTAACTGTCTATCCCTCTCCCTTCCTCTCAATTAAAAATCAATAAAATATATTTTTTTAAACCGTTAAGTTTCTCCCAGAAGCTGCAGTTAAAAATAAATAAATAAAATAACTGGCCCCTTCGCATAAGCTCGGCTTTCTCTGTAAGTCACTCTAAGAAGCAGGAACCATCGCGCCCCCATTCGCAGGGAAAACTAGGATTCAGAGCAGTTGGGTGCCTGCCTGAGGTCACACCGAGGACCTCGCCCACACTGATGACAGGTGAGTGTCAAGTCCACCCTCCATTGCCCAGCACGGCTCCCGGGTAAGCCTCCCCCCAGCCGGCACCATCTCAGCTCTGTCAGCAGAGGGGGCTGAAGGGGGAGGGGGCGTGGCTTCCCAGTTCCACTGGGCTCTTCTCAGCGGCTCCCGTGGCACGTGGGACACCCGTGGGGCACCCCCAGGGGATTCAGCAGTCCCTCCTGGTGGCAGCTCTGGCCAGGGCCCCGGAGGCAGCCCCCAGTGAGGTCGGGGGGCACAGCACCCCGCCCAGCCCTGGGCTGATGGGGACCCTCCAGGCCTGTCCTTCCTGGGTGCTCTGCCTCAGTCCTGCACCTGCCGTCCCCATGTTCTCAGAGTTTTCCTTCTCGCTTCATAGGTAATCCGGTTATAGTTAATACTTGTTTATATTAAATTTCCCCCATTCCCGTTACTGTGTGGGTTCCGTCTCCTGAGTGGACTCTAACTGACACGCCTCACCGCCTTTTTCTTCCTTCCAGCTAAGCAAAATTCTTACTTCGGCTTCTTGCCGCTGAGCAAATGTTCTCTTATTTTAAAAAAGCTTGTTTGCCGAAACCAGTTTGGCTCAGTGAATAGAGCGTCGGCCTGCGGACTGAAAGGTCCCAGGTTCCATTCTGATCAAGAGCATGTACATTGGTTGCGGGCACATCCCTTATGGGGGGTGTGCAGGAGGCAGCTGATCGATGTATCTCTCTCATCGATGTTTCTAGCTCTCTATCTCTCTCCCTTCCTCTCTGTGAAAAATCAATAAAATATATATATTTTAAAAATAAAATAAAAAAGCTTGTTTGCCCGGCCAGAGTGGCTGAGGGGATAGAGCGTCCACCTGCAGACTGAAGGGTCCTGGGTTCGATTCTGGTCAAGGGAATGCACCTCAGTTGCAGGGGCAACCAACAGATGTGGCTCTCACACCAATGTCTCTCTCTCTGTCTGTCTGTCTCTCTGTCCCTCTCTCTCTCACCCTCCGTCCCACTCTCGCTAAAAATCAATGGAAACATCCTGGGTGAGGATTAACAACAAAACAAAAGGCCTGTTTTTAACCATTTAAATGCACATTTGACTCTGGGGAGGGAGGGCATGTATGGGAGTTGGGGGGGGGGGTGGAGATTGGTAAGGTATGTATACATATAATACCTTAATAAAATGGAAAAAATAAAAATAATAAATAATAAATAAATAAATAAATAAATGCGCATTTGCCGGGAGGGAGGTACCTCGTACTGCTCCAGCGCCTGCTTCCGCTCCAGCTCCAGCTGCTCCAGCTGCGCCATGGCCTCCTGCAGGGCCCGCTCCTTCATGACGCGCTGGTTCTCCAGCTCCTGCTTCTCGGCCTCCGTCGTCTCGATGGCCTGCTGCTGCTCCAGGTGCCACCGCTCCAGCTCCGCCCGCTTGGAAGACTCCTCCTCCAGCAACCTGCAAGGGGAGTGCAGGGCCGTGGGCCGGGCCTCCACACCCGTCCCCCGTGACGAGGCACCCAGCCAGGAGAGACTCTCGGGTCGCCTGTCCGCCTCTCTCCTGCTGCAAGGAGGGAGCTCGGGCCCAGAGCGGCCCACGCCTCCCGCTCCAAACTGTCTCACCCTCTTTTGGAAAAAAAATTAATGGCACTGAAGGAGGCTCACTGTGCCTCGAGCTGGGCCAACAGTTGCGTGCACTCCTAGTTAACCTTCACAATACGCTGACGATGAAGACAGTGAGGCACAAAGGTGAAGGGGCCTCACCCAGGGCACTGGCCTGGCAGGTGGCAGGGCCCCGTTCTGGAATTTCCCTGGTTCCTCCAGCATTCAAACATCTCTCATCTGTAAAAACCTATCACAGAGGGAAAGGCTGATAAACTAACGAAGGTGAGGGCAGAAGAAACTAACAAGAGGTGGAATAATAAGAAACCATTTACTAAACCATTAGTACACGCCAAGCACGTCACCTTCATCATCATCAACCCCACCAACAAGGCGCTGTCCCTTCTCCGTTACACGTGAAGCCACTGAAAAGCCAACTACACACGTAGCCATGGGCTCCAACCCAGGTCTGTGTGGCTCCAAATCCTATATAATGAAAGGCTAATATGCAAATAGACCAAACAAAACAGCAGAACTGGAACAACCGAACAACTGGTCACTATGACGTGTGCTGACCACCAGGGGGTGTGCGCAGAACATGGAGGGCGTCGCCATGGCGGGACGGTGGAGCAGGTGTGTGTGGGGGGGGGGCACCAAAATGGGGTGCTGGTCGCTGTCATCAGGGGTGAGCCTCTGGTGGTTACTGAAAATTATTTGCTCCCACACGCCACAGTCCCACCCAGCCCTCACACCTGCTGCTGGTGCCAGCTCCGCTGCCAGTGCTGGAGCCACTGCTCGCACCCAATGCCAGCCCTGATCACTCGGCACGGTTAGTGAGGTGAGCAGTGGCTGCCAACCCCAATCGCCCCTGAGGGCTTCTCCACTGCCCCCTGCTCCTGAGGGGCGATCAGAGCAGCAGCCGCCGCTTGCACCCACTGCTGGCACCAGCCCCAGTTGCTCCGTGCCATCAGCATCGCGGGTGCAGGCGGGGCCGGCACTGTCTGTACGTGGGAAAAGTGGCAGCAGCGGGAGCAGGGCTGCAGGCAGACAGGGACGAGGGGGGTGGGGCTGCAGTGGGAGGGGCCAGATGGGAGCACAGAGGGTGGGCCAAGCCCCGCCCCTGTGCCCACTGCAGCCTCATGGCCCACAGTTCCTTTTAAGGTGCACGAATTTGTGCACTGGGCCCCTACTGTTACTCTAACAGGCTACCTGTCTGAGAACTCTCAGATACTTAGGTATTTAAAGCAACTAAACCAACAGACAACCCAAACCTGTACCCAAAGTACAGACACTGGTCAGATGCCAGCCCAGGACGGGACGCACCTCCAGCGCCTGGACCATCAGTCACAAACCACACAGAGGCCAGTCTCTGCCCCAGAACGTCTGCTCTTCTAAAACCAACACAAAGGAAGTAAAGGAACAGCTCCACACCCCTTATCTGAGACCCTCCCCCACAACTGCCCCATCCTAACCCCAACCACAGCTCTGTCAAAATTCCCTCTACAACATCCTGCGAGGTGGTTACCCAACTCGGCTCGGATGCCGGGTGTGATGGGCCCCTCGGCGCTTTGTAGACTGGAGGCCAGTTGCCTTATTCCTTGGAAAGGTCTCCCTCCGCGAAGATGGCCCTCCCGCCTCCCATCCCCAGCTCCACAAAGACCAGGCGGTGCCCCCTCGGTGTCTCCTGGGCTGCGATGGGCACACACTGCGTGTGGTCTGACCAGCACAGTCTATTCCCGTGCTCGCGTGGACCTATGCCCCCTGTGTGGACTGTTCTTGATGCCGGGTCACAGCGGTGAACGAGACTGGCAGGGCCTGCGTCTTCGGCCCAGGGAGAAGGACGGAGGGGGTGGACACTGGCAGCGTGTAGGCGGCCAGCATCAGAATCCCCTTCACCCGTCTAGAGACCCTGGCACTGCCGGTGTCTTGATGGAAAGCAGGCACATCTCCCGCTACAGAAGCCGGAGGCGACACCTGCTCCCCCTGCCCCTTGTCCGCCGAGGCGTGGCTAAGCAGCTGCCCTCCGGGACCTTTGTCTCTGAGGAACGGACAGAGGCGGGAGGGAACTCACCGTGGCAGCAATACCCACGACCCAGTGGTGGCAGGAGCAACCACCGGCACGGTGCCCATGCCAGCACCACGGGCCTCCTGATGGGACTCTCCCGTGGCCTGGTGTGGGCGGGCGTTTGGTCCCTGCCTGGGCTCCAGGCCTGGCCACCTGCTGCTCCGTGGAACTGGTGAGCCACTTAAGAACCTTCCATGGGATCGTTTTATTATTTTAGCTAATGCAAGTTGGTTTCTGTGGCTTGCAAACAAGCCCCTGACCGAAGAATCTAAGCTCTCTGTTTCCTCATTTACAGAAAATCAAAGGTTTGCCGGTGCATTAAACGTGACAATGCGCGTAAGGTATTAGGACAGTACCTATCACGTAGAAAATGCTGACTGAAGCAGCTTTTGTTATTACGGAGAAATTATTGCCTCATTAGCTCTGGATTCTCACATTCACTGAGGCATCTGAGAGTAGGTGAGGCTTTTGGCAGTCACATCACAAAAAAGTAAAACTTCGAGTCTTTTCAAATAAATTTCTATTCAGCCAGGTCCCCTGGACCCTGTACTTGCTCTGTTAATATATATTTTTTAATTTTTTTAAAATTTATTTCAGCAAGGAAGGGAGAGGGAGAATGGAAACATCAATGATGAGAGAGAATCATTGATCAGCTGCCTCCAGCACACCCCACACTGGGGACTGAGCCCCCAACCCAGGCATGTGCCCTGACCAGGAATCTAACCGTGACCTCTTGGTTCATAGGTTGAGGCTCAACCACTGACCCACGCCAGCTGGCTTCTGTCGCTATTGTAAACTGTCTTCTTGGTATCAAACCATCATTCCAGCTGGTCAGTATCTTTTGAAGAATTCTTATTTTTACATTCTACATATTATCTCTCTTCCTCATCTGCAAACGAGATAAAGGAACAGAAGCCAACACTCGGAGTGACTAGCAAACGCCAGGCCTTCCACCAGCAGTCTGCATGCATTATCTCGTGTCATCTCCTCAGCCCTGCAAGGCTGGCAGTTAGCCTTCGTCTATCGATGAGGAACTGAAGGCGCAACGCGGTGAAATGGCTTTTCTAAAGCTGCACGGCTAAAAAGCAGCGGAGAACCAAACCCAGAGCTCGGCTCCTCACCGCCTTCACAACACGGAAAGTATCACACGTGGAAAAGACTGTTGCTCCGAGAGGCCCCAGTGAGTCGAACTTGGGTCCATTTACTCACAAAATACCGTGGGCGCCTGTCCTGTGCCAGGCACGGCACCAGCTGCTGAGACGGCAGACCTGACTGTGTGGGTTCCACCTCCTGAGTGGACTCTAATGGTACGCCTCACCGCCTTTCTCTCTGAGGAACCCACACAGTCTAGTAGTCATACGTAGTGGGTGGAAGTCATAATGGGACAGGTTATGGCTCAGCCTCAAGAACGCTCCAATAGTTGGGATTTCCCAATGTCAACGGAACCGTTTTCTTGTGAGTTCCCATTCAGAAGAGGCTATCAACCTACAGGTTACACATCAAAAAAAAAAACTTTAATTTTAATGTATCAAGAAATTGGCAAGACCCAGATGGCTCAAGTCTAAGTTCTTGTACTTAAACACTTTACTACCATGTAAAGCATCCTGGGGAGCCTGGCCGGAGTGGCTCGGCGGTGGAACATCGGCCCCAGACCAAGAGGTCGCTGGATGGATTCCAGTCAGGGCACATGCCTGGGTGGTGGGCTCGGTCCCCAGGGAGGCAGGAGGCAGCCAATTAGTGATGTTCCTCTCTCGTCAATGTTTCTATCCGTCCCTCTCCCTTCCTCTCTAAAATCAATGAAGAAAACATATTTAAAAATAAAAATAAATAAAGTATCTCTGAGGAAATACTGAGCTAATGTTAAGACAATCCAGTGGAAGAATGAGATGCCAACTATCCCAAGAATGAAAATATTGCCAGAAGAAAGGGCAGAGGATTAACTAAAAAGCCCTCAACATATGCCCTTCACCTAAGGTAGTTTCATTTCCTCAGAGGGAGACGTAAGTGTTCCTATCTCATCTCCATGAGCATTTCCCTTGATTTGCTACCGAGAAAGGCCTATGGGAGTGGGAGCAAGGAGAAAGCCCCCTTTGCCAATCTGACAAAATGACCCTCTGAACCAGGCCCCGCCTTCCGGACTGGCCGTGCTTAAAAATGACCACCAGAGGGCGTCCGTTTATCCATTTCAATTTCCAAAAACTAAGTTGAAAGAAAAATAAAGTAATAAAATAATTATATTCATAAAGTGGCCTTTGCACATCAAGAAAAAGTTAATTTTTGAGCAGTAATTTCAGTTTATTTGGTGCAAATCTGTACATATGTAATAGCTACATTTGCATTCAGAAGGTTGAAACCACTTTGCTATGGACTTAAATCAGAATATACAAAATAATTAGCCAGAGTTTTTTAAATAACAATACTCATTCCTGGGTCCTACCCACAGATATTTTGATTCAGTAAATGAGGGACAGGCCCTAAGTGTTGTATTTATTTTTTTTTAAACTTTACAGGTGATTCTAATATTTACCACTAAAAGCCAAAAGTTTTATCCAAAATTACCCCTTAAAGAGGACTCATTTAATAAATACAAAATAACTAATCTATAATAATAAAAGCATACTATGCTAATTAGACCAGACATCCTTCTGGATGACCTTCTGGACAAAGCCCGGGTCCCAGATGCTGGAGGGAAGCTGGTGCAGGCAGCCGAGGGAAGGAAGGCAAATTTCTGCATGATTTTCGTGCGTTGGGCCTCTAGTATTTTAATACATTTCTAGAGATATCTGGTTCCCTCTGTGATCGAATCTCTGCTGTGTTATAATCAACCTCTCTCAAAACTGAGGGGAAGTAAAATATAGATCATAGCTCACCTGTTAATTCTCTGCACAGGGTAACCTATAATCCCCCAACACACCAGAAATTATAAAGAGGCCAAATCCATCTTGTGCCCGTAGAATGCCTCTCCATGGAAGTCACATGGGACTCAAACCTTCCCAGTAAGTGAACCTTGTGCCAACGTCACTGCCAATGGCGACGGGGTGGCAGTTCTAAGAATCTAGTTAACATCACGGGACACTGAGCACACACCTGTGGGACTGAAAAGGCCAGGCAACATGTGAAGCATTTGATTTTTCTACTCAGAAGACAATTTTCCCTTAACAGAATTGAAATTTTCAAAACCTATTTATTTTTAAAGCCATTTTGGCAAAGCATACGATGGAGACCTCCTCTCTTCTCTTCCTGCCTAAATATTAAGCCAGCCTCCCCTGCCGCTCCACAGAATAGCAGCCATAGCAGCCTGGGGGACCTGCCCCGGGCCGCCCGCCGCTGTTCCCCGAGGCGGAGGCACAGCCGAAGCCCGCGCACCCGCGCTGCCCGGCGGGCCACCGCAGTCGACGCTCTCCGGGCGGACAAGAATCTCAAAAGAACACAAGTGGGGAAGAGAGTGGAGAGCTCCAACCTCACGTTCAGGTCTTCCCTCTACCCCGTCCTCCTGCTGCTGCTGCAAAGACCAAAATCCCAGAGTTCTCATCCAAGCACATGACTATCATAAATACAATAGTACACCTGACTCTGCAAGCTCTAAGCAGGGGTGCGGAACCTTTTTTGCTGCCAGGGGCCATTTGGATATTGATAACATCATCCACTTAATATAATTCACTTAATATAAAGGTATGTTGCAATGACAAAAGCTCCTAGGTTTATTGAATTTCAGACCAAATGATTCCACGGGCTTTGTACGGCCCAGGGGCCAGACGTGCCCCACCCCTGCTCTACGGGAAAAGACGGTCTAGCTTTAAGAAGTTCTAAAAGTAAGATTCTGAATAACAATTATTTAAAGAATCTCACTAATCCTGAATGACCAACCGAAAACTGCTTATTTCCTCCTCGTCCCCCCAAAGCGGCTGCGACGCTGCCGTGAAGCAGGCCCGTCTCCACGCCAAGGGCCCTTCTCTGGTCCGGAGCATGCCGGCGAGGCCAGGGTCCCGCCAGAGCGGCCCCTGGGCATTCTAGCGGGGCACCCCATCCAGCACCCCCAGCGCCCGGCCTGAGAACAGACCACACAGCCACCGCGCCTCCAGGTCTCTCCCATCCAGCACCCCCTCCCTCTCCACCAGCGGGAGTCACTGCGGACACCGTGCAAAGGCGAATGTGGTACCTGGCCTGAAGCTTCCGCACCATCTCCTCGTCTTGCCGGGCCTGCCGCTCGTCCTCCAGGGCCTCCTGCAGCTGCAGGTACATGTCCTCCAGCTCCCGCACACGCTGCAGGTACTGCTCCAGCTCATTGGACTTCTGGGCAACCTGCTCTTCCATCTGCTGTCGGATCTGACGGGAGAAAGGGGCCACGTTCACAAGCAGGCGGGCCCCACCCTCAGGGAGACCCTCCCACGCCGCCACCACCAGCCCAGCAGGATGGGGGGGGCCTGCCCTCCATCCTTGACGGCAGCATAGAGGCACCGGGCACCACCCTCCCAATACCAACCCCAGAACCACACCCAGAGAGTCCGGGACAAAAACTACACGCATGCACAGAAGTCGGTTTTCAGCTCTCAAAAGAAATTTCAATGTTGATATTTGGCTCTGTTGACTAATGGGTTTGCCGACCACTGCCTTAAATGAATCTGAGCTGCTGAGGGCAACAGACCAGAATCCGTGTTTTCATGATTCCGGGACCTCGGGCTCGGCGCATTACAGAGGGGAAATGTCATGGAACCGAGGTGCACTTTTACCACGGCTATCTATCTCCCATGCCAGGACACGTTGGGAAGGAAAAGGGATGCTGGTGATACTGATCCCAGGATGGGCAGAGACTGTCCCAGTCACCCTGACCACAGCCCTCCTCACCCCCTTCCTTAAATTTCCGCTTCGGGGTCTTGGAAGCCAGGTTCACGTCTTTTACCTTTGCATCCTGGGCTCGGTGCCCAGCACACAGAAGGTGCTCAGTAAACCGACAACAGGTGAACGAACAGACACACAACTTCCCCCAAAGCCCACGCAAGCCAGCAGCAGAGCCACGCTGACACACGGCCCCCCTGCAGCCCCGCCGGCCCTCGCCCACCCCCAGCCGGGCTCCGGGAGCAGCGCCCGCAGCATCCCCCGGCGGGCGGGCCTCACCAGCTTCTCCCGCTCCAGCTCCGTGCTGAACCGGGCCTGCAGCTCCACCTGCGTCTCCAGGCGTTTCTTTTCCTCTTCTGCTGCCCGAGAGGCCGCTTCTTCCAGTTTCTACCCGATCGAAAGCCACCCGCAGAAATGCATTTGGAGAGAGAAATGGTCACACTTAAACACGTGCGAGAATCCAAGCCTCCTTAATGTCCCATAGACACAGCGCAAAACTGTTGGATCTGCTAGACTTCCATGCCAATAATTTTCCCAGTTAACATACAAAACAAATTAGCTAAATCAGTGACTGCTGATAAGTCTGACCAGCGTTTTGCAATGGAGCCACTGAGTCACATTCACTTGCAAATGCATTCATGAGGTCTGAGACCTGCTGCCTGGGTTCGTACTGTACAGAATTGTCACATTATTCCTTAAACCTTACGAGAGCCCGACTCCCAGGAGCTCCACACTCCCTTTCCCAGTGAAACGACGATTAAAAACAACCACCTAAGCCGAAACCAGTTTGGCTCAGTGGACAGAGCATCGGCCTGAGGACTGAAAGGTCCCGGGTTCGATTCCAGTCAAGGGCATGTACCTTGGTTGCAGGCACATTCCCAGTAGGGGGTGTGCAAGAGGCAGCTGATCGATAATTCTCTCATCGATGTTTCTAACTCTATCCCTCTCACTTCCTCTCTGTGAAAATCAATAAAATATATTAAAAAAAAAAAAAAACAAAAAAAACAACCATGTAAGCCCGGCCTCAGTGGCTCAGTAGTTGAGCCTTTACCTATGAACCAGAGGCCAGAGGTTTGATTCACGGTCGGGGCACGTGCCTGGGTTGGGAGCTCAATCCCAAACAGGGGCTATAAAAGAGGCAGCCGATCAATGATTCTCTCTCATCATTGATGTTTTTATCTATCTCTCCCTCCCTCTTCCTCTCTGGAGTCAATAACAATACAAATAAAAATAAATCTATGAAGCTATGTAATAAGAAAGCTGTCCAAGTGGCCTAGGCCCTGTCACCTCAGGCGAGCACTCACATGACAGAGCAGGCAGGGAGCCCTACATGCTACTGGGAGGCCAAGTTCAACGGAACTTAAAAGGACACCAGATGGATGAATTTCAAATGCACGATGCCAAGTGAAAGAACTCATGAAAACAAACATGCTGACTTATTCCATTTATATGAGGATTTGGAAAAGGCCAAAATACACAGGAACAGAACAGATGGGTGGTTTCCAGGGGTTGGGGTGAGGGGAAGGTCTGAATACAAGGAGCAGAGTGAGGAAATCCTTTGGGTATTGGAGTTTGTCTGTATTCTGTCTGTGGTAGTTGCAAGAGTCTAGACGTGTATAAAAACTCACAAAACCAAACATAAACCACAAACTTGCTGTTCACAAATTTCTTTTAAAGACAGGACACAGGAGCTTCTAAACTACTGGCAATATTCTATCCTAACTCAGTTAGTACTTTCAGAAACAGTCGCTGTATTTGTACACACGTATTTCACGCTCTCCTTTGTAGGTGTGACCCGTTTCCTAAGTTATAAAGGGGGGGCACCGGGTCCGGGTCCCCACTCGTAACACCCACGCTCGCTGTGCACAGCGGGTGGGGGAGCAGCAATCTGCTGCGGGGCTCGTCCGAGCCTGTGAGGGGGGTTTTTAAAGAAGAATTACAACAGCGGGAGGAGGCGAGATGCAGGAGTGATTTGGGAAGAAGAGCAGCAAGACCTTAGAGCTGCTTTTATTTTTTTTTTATTTTTTTTTTATTTTTTTTTTATTGAGAGGAAGGGAGAGGGATAGAGAGCTAGAAACATCGATGAGAGAGGAACATCGACCAGCCGCCTCCTGCACACCCCCTACCGGGGATGTGCCCGCAACCAAGGTACATGCCCTTGACTGGAATCGAACCTGGGATCCCTCAGTCCCCAAGCCAACGTAGAGCTGCTTTTAGAAAGATGTGCTGGATAGGAACACAGCTATTTCTAAGATTGTATGTCCACATGGTTCTTAACATTGTCAAACTATATTAAAAAAAAACTCTTTGGGCCGAAACCGGTTTGGCTCAGTGGACAGAGCATCAGCCTGTGGACTGAAGGGTCCTGGGTTCGATTCTGGTCAGGGGCATGTACATTGGTTGCAGGCACATTCCCAGTAGGGGGTGTGCAAGAGGCAGCTGATGGATGATTCTCTCTCATCAATGTTTCTAGCTCTCTATCCCTCTCCCTTCCTCTCTGTAAGAAATCAATAAAAATATAAAATAAAAAAAATAAAAAAATAAAAAAAACTCTTTGGGAGTCCTCGAGGAGGAAGTCAGCATGAAGTGTGGCATTTCCCTGGGTTGCAGAGAGAGAATCGCACCAGGAAGGAGGGGCCTTATACTGATCCCGTTGTAATTAACCTCATTATGAACAACAGGAGAGGAGCAGAGGGAAGGCCAAGCACTATGGGCAGGTCCCGTGCAGCTTCGCCAGGAACGGCAGCTTTACACTCCGCAGGAGTCACTGGTCTGGTCTATTCCCTGCACATCTCCGGGGGAAGGAGTGGGGCTGATACAGAGACGCGGGCCCAGTGAAGTTTGGATGAAATAGGGAGGGTGCTTTCCTGTCAGTCACACCCAGGAACAGGTTATTGGCCAGAGTTGGCGTGGCCACTGCTACCGTGTTTCCCCGAAAATAAGACATCCTCCAAAAATAAGACCTACTTACAGGTTTCCTTCTGAGTGAAATATAAGGCGTCCCCCCAAAAAATAAGGCCCCCCCTAGGCTAAACATGAGAGATTTGGTCCACTGATTCTGAAAGAAATGGAGTCACAAGAAATTCACCAGGAAATTCAGGAATTGGATTGTTATGATGATATTCCAGAAGATGATGACATGATTGCCATTGAATAAATGAGTAGATTCTTGATACTGTAGGATTCACAGTTTGTCTGGTTTGTGTTGACAACTACCGTACTACCGTACCGTATACAGGTAATAGATTTCCTTTATTTTCATTTAACAATAAATGTGTACCGTATTCTTCTTCATGGGAAAATAAGACATCCCCTGAAAATAAGACCTAGCGCATCTTTGGGAGCAAAAATTAATATAAGACACTGTCTTGTTTTCGGGGAAACAGGGTATCACGCGTAGATTTGAGACACTTAACCCCCTAAACAAAGAAGTTCGCTCTCTTGTGCTCCTGCATTCCTGGCAATGTGCAGTAAGCTGGTCTTGGTAAAACCAAGCTCGGAAGTGAGGCAGCTGTGGCTTCTGCCCTGCAAAGAGCCGTCCGGGCCCAGCCCAGCGTGCGCGCCCCTCTCCTCACCTTCCTCACGGTCTCCAGCTCCCGCTGCTTGTTCTCGTTGGCGGCCTGGAGCTCCTTCATCTGCCGCTCCAGCTCCTCCTGCTCAGCCAGCAGCTTCTTCCGGCGTTCCCTCCGGCCCTGGCGGGCCTCTTTGTGCGGCGGGGGGCTGCCCAGCTTCAGCAGGTGGATGGTGGAGTGAATGGCTGTGAAAGGCGGGAGGAAGCGCAGGAAACGCCGTCACCCTGTGGGACCCTAACACGCCAATGGCACAGCGGGAAGAAAGCCAGACCGGCCTCCGGGTAGATTCTGACTCTGCCACCGAGGACCGGGGTGACCTTGAGCAAGTCACCGAGGTCACACCGTGGCTTGAGCATCGGTTTCCTCGTCTCTAAAATGAGAGAGATCACCTCTAAAGTCACTTTTAGCTGCAAAATTCCAAAATTATACATCTGTGCTTAAACAGATGCTTGAGTCAGGAACACCACACACGTGAAGAATTTATTTAAAACAACACTTTCAAATAAATTACGCTTTCAACTCCCTTCCCCATACTTCTCAAAAGGCTAAGATTTGGCCATAGTAAGGGCTCAGATTCAAAGTTCCGGTTATCTGATTTGCTACCTGCTGTGCTGTGTTTGCCAGACAACTGTGCCTTTTGAAACCGGCTCCTTTATCTCTGCTTCCTGAGATGTCAATAGCAGTTACCATTTATTGAATCTTGACTATATGTGTACCCTTTCCGTGCATTATCTAATTTTTAAATAAAACCAAATTTCTTTCCTGATGGTTTCAATTGTATAAATTTTTTTTAAAAATATATTTTATTGCCGAAACCGGTTTGGCTCAGTGGATAGAGCGTCGGCCTGCGGACTGAAGGGTCCCAGGTTCGATTCCGGTCAAGAGCATGTACTTTGGTTGCGGGCACATCCCCAGTAGGAGGTGTGCAAGAGGCAGCTGATCAATGATTCTCTCTCATTGATGTTTCTAACTCTCTATCCCTCTCTCTTTCTCTCTGTAAAAAATCAATAAAATATATTTAAAAAAAAAAAAAAAAATATATATATATATATATATATATATATATATATATATATATATTTTTTTTTTTTTTTATTTTTTTTTTACAGAGAGGAAGGGAGAGGGATAGAGTCAGAAACATCGATCAGCGCCTTCTGCACACCCCCTACTGGGAAAGTGCCCACAACCAAAGTACATGCTCTTGACCGGAATCGAACCTGGGACCCTTCAGTCCGCAGGCCGACGCTCTATCCACTGAGCCAAAGCGATTAGGGCTGTATAAATTTTTTTAATAGTTAATACTTTTGTTCAAATTCAAAAGCATGAAAGGACAGAGGAAGTCTCCCTCCTACTCCTATTTCCAAGTACCGGGTTCCCTCTCCACCGCAAACTACTGCTAACAGTCCCTTGTGCATCTTTCCTGAAACAGATTAAGAATATACAAGTAAATATGTATATACATCCTCCGCCTCCTTTTGACACAAGCAGGGGCATAGCACACCCTTCTGAGCCTTGGCTTTCTCATTTATCCTTGAGAGTTTTCATATCACTATACAAAGTACACTGCACAGTACCCCCCTGCGTAGCTGTACCATACTGTACTCAACCATTTCCCAATCAATGGACATTTAGGTTGCTTGCAACATATCACAAGCATTTCTGCAAGGCTGTGCCATCTTAAAAACATTAAATATCATTTTAAGTATAACTTCATTATCTAATTATTAACCTTTATAACAACCCCGGGGGGCAGTACTGTTACTGTTCCCATTCCCCAGGAGAGGAGAGCAGCTACGGAATTCATAACTCAGCCCACGTGACTCGGGGAAGAGAAGTCAAACCCAGTCAAACTCTTAAATCACATCAAAAAAGAGCACAACTTTCAATGTAATCTATTTTTGCCTGACCCTGAGGGTTTCCATGACTCTGATTAAATTTAGTTTTACATCCTGGCTCTAAAAATACTAGTTCTCTCAGGATACCCCTCAGCAACCTAGCCTTTCCCCCGGATAATCAGCCACCCCCGGGGCAGCAGGAGCCAGCCCAGACCTGACTAATGGTCACAAGGTCCAGACTACAGATAACATCTTGACCTCAGTTATGTTTCGGCTCCTGAGACCTAAAATGGAAATACCCCGCTCCCTTCCTGAGAGCCCAGACAGAGGGCCACCTGAGCAGACCTCAGACCTGTCCTCCAGACCCGAAGAAATGATTCATCACCCTTACCTCACCTCCAACCAGTCAGCTCCCAGCGCGACCTGAGCCCCCACCCCTCCGTGCCTTGTGATTTTTGCCCTAAATAATCTTACCCTATGTGCCACGGAGGTTTTTAGCGTTAGCTCCCCATCTCTGGATTGGTCACTTCAATATGAAACTATCTTTCTTTCTATACTGCAAACTCCTGCGCCTGCATGTGTTTGGGCCAGTCCACACAGGCACATGGACTCAAAAAAAAAAAAAAAAGGGGGGGGGGTGTCCCAGTAACATAACTAAGTCTAAGAATATCATATTCAGAATCTCCCCATCATTTAAAAAAAATCTAATATATAGTGTCTCATTCTTTGATGGTCACTTTAAAACTCTTCACAGTTTTTTTTTTAAATATATTTTATTGATTTTTACAGAGAGGAAAATAGAGGGATAGAGAGTTAGAAACATCGATGAGAGAGAATCATCGATCAGCTGCCTCTTGCACACCCCCTATTGGGGATGTGCCCGCAACCAAAGTACATGCCCTTGACCGGAATCACACCTGGGACCTTTCAGTCTGCAGGCTGATGTTCTATCCATTGAGCCAAACAGGTTTCGGCTCTTCATAGTTTTTAAAAGGGGAAATTCCACACTCTTCAAATAGTAGAAGTAAATAAGACTCAAAATGTCCAGTTTACAATTTTCCCGTAAGATGATTACAAAAATGAAATTGACTAAAAATTTGGAAACTGCTCTGGTTTGTTTTTCTTTAAGCTATCATGTTATACCCAGTACGAACACAGACAATGAGGGAACAAGGCCTTAGTATCTTTCATGAGCTTCAAAAATAGAAAGCCAGCCGAAACTGGTTTGGCTCAATGGATACAGCGTCGGCTTGGGGACTGAAAGGTCCCGGGTTCGATTCCGGTCAGGGGCATGTACCTTGGTTGCGGGCATATCCCCAGTAGGGGGTGTGCAAGAGGCAGCTGATCGATGACTCTCTCTCATTGATGTTTCTGACTCTCTGTCCCTCTCTCTTCCTCTCTGTACAAAATCAATAAAATACATTTAAAAAAAAAAAATAGAAAGCCAGAGCTTTCGAGTTATATCATGACCAACAGTAAAAGTCACCTTACCTTGAATCCACTCCTGCTTCTTCTTCTTATCGGAAGCACTAATCTCAAAGGTCTTATCAAGACACTTTATGAGAAAAAGGCATTTCTTTCCATCTTTGTCAGGCAAAGACTAAAACAGAAAGCTAAGTTAGTTCTTTTAAGATTTTTTTTTTTTTTTTTTTTTTTTTACAGAGAGAGGGGGGAGGGAAAAACATAGATTTCTGATGTTCCACTTATTTATGCATTCATTGGTTGCTTCTTGTATGTGCCTGACCCGGGATCCATCCCACAACCCTGGCACATCAGGCCCATGGTCAGCAAACCCATTAGTCCACAGAGCCAAATATCAACAGTACAGCGATTAAAATTTCTTTTGAGAGCCAAATTTTTTAAACTTAAACTTCTTCTAAGGCCACTTCTTCAAAATAGACTCGCCCAGGCCGTGGTATTTTGTGGAAGAGCCACACTCCAGGGGCCAAAGAGCTGCCTGTGGCTCGAGAGCCGCGGTTTGCCGACCATGGCTCTGACCAATGGAGCCACCTGGCCAAGGCTAAGATATTATTTTTTAAGTTTTTAAATTAAATTCCACCTTAATTATTTATACACATCTGGCTGAATTCAATGTCAATGGAAAATACCTCTAAATGCATTTCACTGATTCACTAATTCTATCCAATGGGCAACTTTATTTATGGGCACAGTGGCTCCTGATCAGCACACCAAACCCTGACGGGGAGAGCAGCCCCCTGATGGGGATGCCAGGCTGTGGGCTTCCCTAAGCGCAGGGACGCACTCTGAGCACGTCCCTGACAAGAACCCTGGGAGGCAGCCCTCAGAGTTCCTCCAGGTCCTCCCTCCCGTGAGCTAGGAGGCTGCTAAGCCAGAGTGATTCCCACACTGGCCAGAGGTGTGCCCTCCTCGCTCCGCACACCTGGAGTCAGTGCCGGCAAGCTGGGGCCCCTGCCCTACATCCCTACGAGGAGACCGGTATGGCTGTTGTAATCTTTGTGACTTCATGTTTAGCTGAGTCTTTAAAAAAAAAAAAAAAAACCCTTAATGGGCATTGCACACCCTAGAGCAATACCATTTCATATCGTTTATGAGAGAGATCGTAGGTATTCGAAATGTTCTCCAACAAAGACAGGCCCGGGAACAGTTCAGATACAAATACTCAAAAACGTATGTTCTCGAGGACTTCACTTCCTGACAGAATTAACAGTTATGAATAAGATGTACTGAAAGTCACTCAAAATATTCAAAGATATTGCTCACTGGCCGAAGCCGGTTTGGCTCAGTGGAAGAGCATCGGCCTGGGGACTGAGGGGTCCCGGGTTTGATTCCGGTCAAGGGCATGTGCATTGGTTGCGGGCACATTCCCAGTGGAGGGTGTGCAAGAGGCAGCTGGTCAATGTTTCTCTCTCATCGACGTTTCTAACTCTCTATCCCTCTCAATTCCTCTCTGTGTAAAATCAATAAAACATATTTAATTTAAAAAAATATTCAAAGATATTGCTCACTTCCTCTTCAGTTTTATTCACTGCACTCAAAATGGCCCAGAATTTCTGGAATGTTCATTATTTCAACTGATTTTTTTTTTTTGCTTTATTTTCTTTTGATGACTCCATTTTATTCAATAAATGATTCCGTAAATGTACAAACGCGGTTTAATCCCTATCCTTTCTTCACAAGTATAAGACAGAAGACGAACTCATATTAGAAAAAAAAAATTGTCAGGTATCTTTAATTTTTATTGCAACTTTAGTCTATTATATATTATGTTTTAAGATTATTTTAAGGCCCTGAAGTCTACAAGGAAGATACGCTACTTGAGCAGCAGGGGGCAGCACCACAAAGAGGTAACAGTAGGCTCTTACCTCCACACAGCAGTTTTCATCCAAGACAATGTCTCCTTTCTTGTCTTTCAGATCTTCGCTCACATAATAAGAGATCACGTTGGGTTTTAGTACAAACCAGCGTTCAGTCCAGTTTTTCCGTCTGTGACCCTTTTTCATCATGTAACCCTATAGGAGATTAAGTCTGACATAAATTCCTGTCCTTTTATGTATAAGAGCTGCTATCTCTCTTCCTTGATATTCTTACCTACTCCATTATCTGATGTATGGTTCTTGCCCTGTGAGGTCTATGAAAGCCAGGGACACTATTCCCAGTCAAATTCACACAAGCACATGCAAACAAAAGCCTATGCAGAATTTTAGACACCCCTCACTTACCCTCCCTGCAAAGCTAAATAGACAATAGACTTTTTAAAATATATTTATTTGTATTGATTTCAGAGAAGAAAGGAGAGGGGGAGAGAGATAGAAACATCAATAATGAGAGAATCATCGGTCAGCTGCCTCCTGCACACCCTGACTGAGGATTCAACCTGCAACTCGCTGACCAGGAATCGAACCATGACCTCCTGGTTCATAGGTCAATGCTCCACCACTGAGCCATGCCAGCCAGGCAGACAGTAAACTTTAGAATCCCTGATGTTAATAGCATTTAATTTTTTTAAATTCCATATCTTTTAGGGATACTTATTGAAATATCCTATCTAATAAAGAAGGAATATGCTATTGACCCTCGCAATGTCACAAAGATGGCAGTACCCACAGCCAATAAGGAGGGAATATGCTAATTGACTGTCCCACCCTCAAAATGGCAGCGCCCACAGCCAATAAGAAGGGACTATGCTAATTGACTGCCCCACCTTCAAAGATGGCAGTGCCGACAGCCACACGACAGCCACAAAATGACGGCACCCAATCCCTTCAGCCCTAACAGGGAGACAGGCATGTGGCAAGGCCTGCCCCACACACCTGCCTCCAGAGTCCCCCAATCTTCTCAGTCCCTCAGCCGTCCAAGATACAGGCAAGCCTCAGATGGTGGCTGCCCAGCCTCCCAGGGCCACCTGAGACTCAGGTAACAGGGCCGGCCAAGGTTTGCGCTGCCAGTAGTGGCAGCAGCAGAAGTGTGATGGGACGTCGCCTTCCCCTGATCGCCAGGTCGCCTCCTGCCCCTGAGGGCTCCCGGACTGTGAGAGGGGACAGGGCTCCCGGACTATGAGAGGGGGCAGGCTGGACTGAGGGGACCCCCCCCTCCATTGCATGAATTTTCATGCACCTGGCCTCTAGTTTATAAATATTGCCCTAGCTGGTCTGGCTTAGTGAATAGAGTGTTGACCTGCAGACTGAAGGGTTCCAGGTTCAATTCTGATCAAGGACACATGCCTGGGTTGCAGGCTCAACCCCCAATAGGCAGCTAATCAATGATTCTCTCTCAACACTGATGTTTCTATCTCTCTCTCCTCTCCCTTCCTCTCTGAAATTAATAAAAATATTTTAAAGAAATATTTATAAATATTTAATGAAATATATGAGATTTATTTCAAGACAATACAGGAGAAGCAAGAGTAGGTAGTGTAGGATTCACCATGTATTGGTGGTTGCTGGGACTGGGTGGTGGGTATATGGGAGTTCATTATACTATTCAGTCTATTCTGCTTAACACACACACACACACACACACACACCAATAGTAATCTCAGTAAATTAAAACCTCAGTCAATAAAAATGCTAAAAGGTGTTAAGGGCCAAGTATTATCTACTCAGCCAATCACCTTCTGGCACCAACCTACCTTTCTACCTGAACTCCTAATATTCTGGAGGATGAATTCTGCTCCCGATGAGCAAAGAAAGAATAAAGCAATAGTTAAAGATACTGGCTTCTCTGTGTAACTTCTATGCATACTTATAAGCCTGAACCTCCTCCCCATATATCAGCCTCAAAGGTGTATAATTCAAACTTTCACTTCAACAAATTACACCTTATTATAGCCTTTCAAGGCTGTTCAAGAATAGCTGGCCTTTAAATATTAAATATACGGGGGGGAGGGGGTGTGGAGCAAAAAAGGCTAAAGGAGTAAGAAGTACTAATTGGTAGTTAGAAAATAAGCACAGAGATGTAAGGTGAAGCAGAGGGAGTAGTTAACAATGTTGTAATTACTCTGTATGGTGCCGGGTGGGAAATGGAAATATCAGGAGGAACACTCTGTAAAGTATAGGACTGTCTAACCGCTATGCTGTACACCTGAAACTAATACAAAATAATATTGAAAGTAAACTGCAATTTTTTTTAAATCTTTTTAAGCTATCTCATACTGAAGTCCATCTCAGTCCTTAACCTGCCTTCCTCACGGACTTAGTCCATCAGATCATGTCTTATATTTCCTCAAAGCACCAAAAATCTGTACAAATTAAGCCTCAACTACTGTTTATTGATGGGCTGCACTAGGAAAAAAGATGACAATATCACCTACTGAGCAAAAAAAGGACCCAAGTAAGGAAATCACAAATTGGAGTTATTATTCAATATTATAATACTAGAGGCCTGGTGCATGAATGTGTGCCTGGGTGGGGTCTGGCCAGCCCACCCGATGGCGGTGGGGAGCTGATCAGGGATGGGGCCGACTTGGGGAAGGGGCTGCAGGTGGTTGGCTGGTCGGCCCCACCCCCTGGTCAATTCCTAGTCAAACTCCTGGTCCAGGGGGACAATCTGCATATTAGCCTTTTATTATGTAGGATAAGAAATTTGAGAGATCCACTAATAAATATATACATTCCATTTAACAAGCATGAAGCTCCCCATACGATTACCAGTTTGCTTTGCGGGTGCTGAGAAAACAAACATCATAATCTAATAAGATAAATGCAATTTTGTTACCTAAAGGGGTTTTCTTCAAAAAATAAGAATATTTTTCTGATTTTATAAAAACAATATATAACCATATACATAAACTCATGTATATACGTCCAATAATAAGAAAGGAACCAAGAAGGAAATAAAGTTTGCACAACTTCCACAGTCCAGAGGCGATCCCTCTAACACTCTGCTGAGCACCCTTCCTGACAGCTCTGTGCCCACACCTCACCCTGTGGCAGGGGCCACCAGCCGCTGCTGCACAGCATGCCGTGGGGATCGTCCAGGGGAACAGGTAAGGATGTGCACGTGACCGAGAGTACTTTAAAAACTACTTGGAAATGTGATCATTTAAACAGTTCTTTCAAAATAGCAACTCCGCCCGGCCGCGGTGGGCAGTGGTTGAGCGTCAACCTAGGAGCCAGGAGGTCACAGTTTGATTCCCGGTCAGGGCATATGCCCGGTTTAGGGGCTAATCCCCAGTCAGGCAGAAGGCCGCTGATGAATGGTTCTCCTCATCGTTGATGCTTCTATATATCTCTCTCCTCCCTTCCTCTCTGAAATCAATAAAAATGTATAATAAATAAATAAATAAATAAAAAGCAACGCCAATGCTTAACCGTACTTCAGAAATGCACCTGTAATTCTGCAAAAGGAAAGCCTGAAGAAATAAGAAACTTTGTTCAGCCCTAAATCAGTGTAAAAGTGCAAGTGACTCATACTCATCTGTGTGATGAACATGTGTCTCACTTCAGACATGTCCAATTCCAAAGGTGAGAAGAAACACAGTGTTACAGGAGTCTTACCTGCTTCAACACATCCAGTATCAGCTCATTGAAGACCTCATTAATGGCCATGGACACCGTCTGCCGGTCCATGCCTTTGCTGAACTGTCCGGTTCCAATGAGCTCGATCAGCTCCCACGCCGAGAGGCCCTCTTTCCCGTCATCAAAGTTGACTTTATAATCTTCAAACTGTTCTTGCTGCCAAACTCCTCCCATGGCGTCTGTCAGTTTCTTAAGCAGGTATTCAATCTATAGAAAGAATTTAGAAGTTATTATTTACTAATTAAAAAAATAACTTTTAACTTAGGTATACATCTAAGTCATTTACACTGATAAGTCCATTTACGAAACATTCTTTTACACTTCCAACAGGAGATCATGACACTGTCGGGGAGAAGGGTGTAGACAAATGCCGCTGGTTACCATATGCAAACTAATTAATGTGATCTGATTACTCTCTCTTGGATAAATATTTTAATAGTAGAGGCCCGATGCACAAAGATTTGTGCAAGAATGAGTCTTCCTTCCCCAGAGCCACCTTTCCGCCTTCCCACACTGCCCAGAGGCCTGGAGTGACAGGCGCATCCCACCCCGCCCCTGGCCACTAAGTGCCTGCGTATGCAAATTAACCTGACATCTTTGGTTAATTTGCATACTCACTCCTGATTGGCTTGTGGGCATCGTGAAGGTATGGTCAACTTGCATCTTTCTCTTTTATTATTGTAGATATCAGAATATTCATTTTTTTTTAAAAGAATATTAGTTGGTCCGAAGGTTGTGGGTTATTGTTAAGCTGATTAAAAAAGAATATTCATCTTTTCCTGATATGCAAGCACCCAATTAAATAAGCATCTCAAAGTAAGATGTGCAAGTTACTCCCCAATGTACACATTTTCGATAAAAGGCAGTTATTTTAAATTCATGCTGCCTCCTCCCGTTAAGAACTCTGACAATGTTGTAAACAATGTAGATTTTCTAGGTTGGCCTGGAACTGGAAGAGCTTTTTTTTTTTTTCTTTTTCTTTTTTTTTTCTTTTTTTTTTACAGAGAGGAAGAGAGAGGGACAGAGTCAGAAACATCAATGAGAGAGAGTCATCGATCAGCTGCCTCTTGCACACCCCCTACTGGGGATGGGCCCGCAACCAAGGTTCATGCTCTTGACCAGAATCGAACCCAGGACTTTTCAGTCCGCAGGCCGATGCTCTATCCATTGAGCCAAATTGGTTTCGGCTGGAAGAGTTTATTAACTCCCAAACGCTGAGTCACCTCCCCCTTCCAAATGGCTTCCCTTTCTATTACTGGTTTTGGTTGGGAGCAGGACCATTCACCCTGGCAGAATCCTTGTTCCCTTACATCAAATCGGTGACAAAATCCCACTGTGTTTCCCTCCTTGGATAGGTGGTTTTCAAACCGCAGGTTATGACTCAATATGAAAGCAACTTAGTGGGCAGTGAGCAGCATTTTCTTTAAGGAAATGAAAAAATGTTTCAGCTTATCCACAAGGAAGACAAATGTTCTGAGCGACACGTCTTGCTGTGTGTGTGCATGTATCTGTGCGTGCTGGGTCGTGAAATAAAACGTCGATCTTCCTATGGGTCGCAGTCAAAAGAGAATGAAGAACTGTCCAAGGCAGTTCTCAACTCCGCCTTCTCCTACCCCATCTGCCTTCGTTCAGGCCTCCCGGTTGGTGCCCTGGCCTCCAGCATCGCCCCCTTGTATCTGTGTTCTGCCAGAGAGATTTTTCTAAAACAAAGCCTGAGTCTGCGACCCTTATCTTGAAACCCTGCTTCAAAGATAAAGGCAAAGCTCCTCAGCACCCATCGGCGGTCATCGCCTGCCTGCTGTCCCGCCCAGGGCACGTGTGCACTCCCCAGTGCCATCAACACCACTGGCAGGGGCCCCACTTGTTCTTTGAAGGACTGGGTAGTAAATATTTCAAGCTTTTTTGCATCTCCGTTTTATTTTCTTCTTTGTTTTGGGGTGGGTTTTTGGTTTTTTTACAACCCTTTGAAATCCATAAAAACAATTCCTAGCTCATAGACAATATGAAACAGACCAGGGGCTGGCTTCAGTCAGGGAGCCGCAGTTGGCCAATACTTGCCATAGATTGCAAATAGTTTCCCCATATGACACACTTGCTTATGCTCCGATGCCTGTCCCCATGCTGCTCTCTGTCTAGAATACCTTCACCCATTTCTCTACCTAACACATATTTATTCACCTCCTCCATCGTCTATGATATGCCTACCCAAACTGAGATGGGTGGACTAGCAGCAGCAGAAACCTATTAACATTAAGTGTCTCAGATCCCACTAAAGACCCAAAAGCCAGACTGTGCCTTTGAACAAGAACCCCGGGAACCTATAGGCACACTGAAGTGTGAGGAGCAAACCTGCTCTAACCCAGGGCAGGTGTTCTCTGCTGCTGCATTTAGCATACTGAATCAAAATGATCTTCTTACTAACTGGCTTCCCCACTGTTTTATGAATTCCATATTGGAAGGACCATATCTCACTCATCTTTGAATCCCCAGAACTCAGTGTGGTACCTAGAAGGTAGTAGAGCTCAATTAATGTTTGTCAAACTGAAATAAATTAAGCTAAGCCCCAATTGCCTCATCAATGAAATGAATCTAATAACACTCATCAGCCCTGCCAGCGTGGCTCAGTGGGTGAACTTTGACCTATGATCCAGGAGATCACAGTTGGATTCCTGGTCAGAGCACATGCCCAGTTTACAGGTTCGATTCTCAATGGGGGTGTACAGGAGGCAGCCGATCAATGATTCTCATCATTGATGTTTCTTTTTTTTTTTTTAATATATTTTATTGATTTTGTACAGAGAGGAAGGGAGAGAGATAGAGAGTTAGAAACATTGATGAGAGAGAGTCATCGATCAGCTGCCTCTTGCACACCTCCTACTGGGGATATGCCCGCAACCAAGGTACATGCCCTTGACCGTAATCAAACCCGGGACCTTTCAGTCCCCAAGCTGACTCTCTATCCATTGAGCCAAACCAGTTTCGGCTCATCATTGATGTTTCAATCTCTCTTTCCCTCTCCCTTCTTCTCTGAAATCAATAAAAATATATTTTTTAAAAAAGAAAGCATTTATGAAAGTACATAAAGTGAAGAAGAATGCAAAATTAAATTTACCTATGATTTATACTCCATAAAGATTATGTAAATATTTTGACAAATATTAGTACAAAACATAGAAACAGTAAGTCTGTTACAGATAGAATTGTGATTTTTTTTTCTTTCTCTTCTTAACACTTCTTTTAACTTGGTTAAAACTTTGTGAAATAAACTTCAACAGAAAAATAATACAAAACATAGAAAAAACACATTTGCAAAGAAATGTACATTCATAAAATATCACAAAGTCAAAAAATATCCTGAGTTCTACGATTTAATTTGATAAGATTGTAAAAATCCTCTGGAATGGAGATTACCTAATCTCTTAAATCTAACATATGTTCACTTATTGGAAAAAGACACATCTAAGTCTTTCCTTCTCTTGTTGGAGATCTATCTATTACTAAACTCATCAGAGATTATTTTCTTGGCTCTTAAACGGAAGAAACAGGGAGTATCAGCGGAAGAGAAAAAAAGGACATGTTAAGAGGAAGACAAAGGAAGAAAAAGGGAAGGAGAGAATGAGACAAAAAAGAAAGAAAAATATATAAAGGCAAGAAGAGATTGGGGGGAAAAAAGACAAAGGAAAGAAAGAAATAACATTAAAATAAATAACTGCCCGTGGTACACTAACGTAGAGGCATTAACAGGTACAGAAATTCACTCTCCCCAAGGCAGCAAAATGAAGGGCCCATGCTGCCTGACCCCTACGCAGGCTAAGTGTAGCAACGGCACAGCCAGAGGTTTCAGTAGGAAGCCAGCATTGCGCATGGCCGCAGGTATGAGGGAAAGTGGGCGTGGCGAGGAGGGGCACCCCACTGACCATTTGTATTTGTGGACACCCAGCCTCCGCTCGGCCTCGCCAGCCCCCAGTGAACAAACCCGAGCAGCACAATCCAAGCGTCAGTTCTTCCTGCCTGTCGGACAACCTTCTATCATGTTTGTAACCTTGTAACCCAGAAAGGACCTATGACTAGCAAACCTTTCTGAAGGTGACCTCCCAGACCTTTCTGAGTTGGTCATCAGCACCAGCCTCTGCTCAGCACTGCCAGTAACTGTGCCAGACAAGCAATGAGATTCAATTTCCTGCTGACTTTCGACACAATCGTTTCCTTATCATAACCAACTACCGTAAGGACCTCTTAAATCATCATGTTGGGCCAAGGAGAGACCGGCATTCTCAGCTATTCAATTTTACACCAACTAATAAATCACGTGCTGCCTGTTAGTCTGGAGTGGCCTGCATCCATTCTGAGAGCTCCTTCAGTTTCAGGAAGCAGCTTACTTCCTCCTTCCAAGCAAGTTCCACCAAAAATAACAAAGAAAAAACTTTTAAACTGCGTGTGATTTGTAATGCCTTTGGCTCCAAGATTTATTCTGTGAAATGTTCTTTCCCTGTCATCATTTAAAAGGGCCTCTACGGGGCATAACAACAATCCAGGTTTCATTTCACAGGGGGTCTCTTAAAACTATTTCAGGTTTGATATTTATTTCAAGGCAACTCTTCCAAATAAGCTCACAACAGACACATCCTGTTTTTGTTCTTGGTTCTGTGGGAAGCGAATACTAATGTGAAAACTATACTTTGACACATATTTCCAGGAATACCATTTGACAAAAATTACAAACCCATCTCAAATAAGGACATGCCATTTCTTGACTTCTGCATAGGAAGTAACTTAAATATTTGTTAAATATTCTTGACACTACTTTTTGGGTGATGGAAAACTAAGTCAAACTTATTTATACCACTTACCAGTTATTCATATAACTACTGCTGTTACTTATATAGCATTAATCAAAGCTGGAGAACAAAATCTTACTTAAAAACATTCTGGACTTAAAATGCAAATGATCGTTATAGTACTTAAGAGTATTGGAAAAATAAAAAAGTACTTTAATTGTATAAAGTCTAAAAACTGTTGAAAAGATTACAATTAAACTTAATATATACTCATAACAAAGACTATTATGCTTCAAGTTTTATATTTTAAGTACATCTTTTTTCACATTAAAATTTATTAAAGCCAAAACCGGTTTGGCTCAGTGGATAGAGAATCGGCCTGCGGACTGAAAGGTTTCAGGTTTGATTCCGGTCAAGGGCATGTACGTT